AGAGACCCTGGGCTGTCACCAGATGTGGAACCCAGGAGACCTTTGGTGTCCTCCTTTGGAGGCCAGGCTGTGCGCTTTCGGCGGTGGGGGCGCTGCGTGTCCGGCGGAGGAGGCCAGGCCCGTGCGTTTTCAGTGGTGGGAGCGCTGCATGTCAGTGGGAGGAGGCCAGGCCGGTGCGTTTTCGGCGGTGGGGGCGCTGCGTGTCCGGCGGAGGAGGCCAGGCCCGTGCGTTTTCGGCGGTGGGGGCGCTGCGTGTCAAGGTGGAAGTGTTCTATTTTCGGAAGTGAGAGTGTCACTGGAAAGCACAGGGTGACTGTAGCTGGCTGTGTCATCCTGCTGCGCTGTATATCACAGGTATGCTCTTATTGGGGAATCCCTCTGGCTGGTGGGTGGTTGGGGGAATGGGGCACACCCGCGCCTCTATGGAAGTTAGAAGGGCGCTTGACATTCCCTTCTCTTTGTCCGCTTCATTAGGGCCTTGGCTAGGTGGGCCACAACTTGGGCTGGCATTCCACCCAGGACTTAGATTGTTGAGGGAGATTGTGCCAACATTTAGGAAGCCATAGAGTATTCGTCATTGACGTGTCTGCTGAACGTCCAGTGAGGTAGGTGTGGCACGGCAGGAATATCTAAGTCCCCGATCTCCACTAAAATGTCCTGCCTTATCCCTGGACCGAATGTGGCTGTTGAAGATGACGGAAAGCCTGATAAGATTTCTCTTTCAAGAATTCTGGCCTGGGCGCGGGTGGCTCAAGCCCTGTAATACCCGCACTTGGGAGGCCGATGACGGGCGGTCCGAGGTCAGGCTGATGATCGAGACCAATTCCTGGCTAAACACGGTGAAACCCGTTCTCTACTAATAATACAAAAACTAGCGCCGGGCGAGGTGGGGGGCGCTTGTAGTCCACGCTTACTCGAATGGCTGAGCCAGGGAATGGCGTAAAGCCGGGAGCGGAAGCTTGCAGTGAGCGAGATCCGCCACTGCACTCGCTGGGCGACAGGCGAGACTCCATCTCAAAAAAAAAAAAAAAAAAGAATTCTGACATAAGCTACAACGTGGATGGACCTTATGGACATAACAGTAAGTGAAATAAGCCAGACACAAAAGGACAAATCCTGTGTGACCCCACACAAATGAGGTCCCTGGAGCAGCTGAACCATGGAGACAAAAAGTGGATGGTGGGTGCCAGGGACCAGGGCAGAGAATGGGAGCTGGTGTTTACTGGGGACAGAGGTTCATCTTGAGAAGATGGAAAGTTCTGGAGATAGATGGTGGTGATGGTTGCACAACGATGTGAATGTATGTAATGCCACAAACCATACACTTAAAAATGGTTAAAATGGTAAATTTTATGTGATGTATATTTGACTACAATTTGCTGAATGCACCATTGCTGGTTTGAAGGTGGAGGGGCTGCGGGAGCAGGGACAAGGACGTGGGAACCTCAGTCCTACAGCCATGAGGAGCTGACTTGTCAACAGCCTGAATGGTCCTGGAGGCAGACGCTTCCCTGGAGCCTCCAGATGAGAGTGCAGCCCACCAAGGCCTGACGTCAGCCCGAGAGACCTCTCGCAGGGAACCCGCTGAGCGCACCCGGACTTCTGCCCTGGAGAGCTGAGAGATCGTAAATGGTCACTGCTTGCAGTCCTTACGTCTGTGCTGCTGCTTACACAGCATAGAAAACCGTTGCAGCTTGTGTCTGGGTGGAGCCCTCCAGGGCGTGGACCGCCGGTGTCTGCAAGTCAGCCCTGGGCTGCTGCCTCCAGCGTGGCTTCCTTTGTGCTTGCACCCGGCCCATTCCCATGGAGGGATTTGGTGAGCTACCCCTACCCTTGCGTCTGTTCCCAATGGAGGCTGGCTCTCTGGCTGGGCCTTCACTCACTCCCCTCCTCACAGCTCGGACCCTCCCCTCAGGGATCCCGTGAGGGCTGACAGCAGGGGCGTCTTCACCTCTGTGGGCAGGCAGGTGGTGGGAGAGGGGCCCAGGCGCAGCATCATTGTTCTGCAGCCACCGAAGACTACCCGAGTATCTTCTTGGACCAATAGCGTCTGCTTCGGAGCGGAGACAATGTGCGGGTCCACCCTGGGAGCGTCTGAAGACGCTGGGCTCCTGGGGCTGGCGGCCACATGCTCTGAGGAACAAGGGGATCATGAGGCTGTGGTGGAATGTTCTACAGGGGACCTGTGAGGCTACTGTGGAATGTTCTAGAGGGGATCATGGGGCTGTGGTGGAATGTTCTACAGGGGACCTGTGAGGCTACTCTGGAATGTTCTAGAGGGAATCATGGGGCTGTTGCAGAATGTTCTAGAGGGATTATGGAGCTGCTGTGGAATGTTCTAGGGGGACTGTGAGGCTGTTGTAGAATGCAGAGGACCCAGGGATGGGGGCTTGGATGGCCAAGAGCAAGTGGGTGGGTTAATGGGCATGGCAGGCAGAGACAGGCCAGCTCCGTGGGGTCAGGAAGAGCTGCCTGGCTTCGGGTTGGACCCTCCCTGCCCCCTAAGCATGAGGAGCTCCGGGGTATTCAAGCACAGAGATCCTGGCCTGGGGCTGTAATCTGGGGACCCAGAAGCATCCATCTCCAGGTCTTGGCAAGGCCTGGTGCAAGCAAAGGGGGGTCCCCGTGTGGGCTATGGGGTGCAGGGCATCGGGTCTGGAAACTCTTCAAGTCTCCCACCCCACCCTGGCACTCAGTCACCCCCAAAGCGTTTCCTCTACAGTATCAGCCTGCAGCTTGGTCCGGGGCTCCCTCCCGGTGGCTGTCTCGAGTGGAGCTGGAGGACCTTCCAGAGAGGGTGGGGGCAGCAGGGAGCCCTACCGTGGGGCCAGGGTGTATTTGCCCTTGCGGTCCAAGCTGCAGCCAGAGCGGATGGCAAACCACAGGAATGAGCTGAGGAGCAAGGCGGACACCTGGGAGGGAGACACCCGTGGCTGCCCCACTGCTCCAGGCTGGGGGCGCCCCTCCCCAGAAAGCATCAGGACTCTGCAGTGGGAGGGGGCGGCCCAGCTGCAGAGGCAAACACTGTCACAGCGGACCAGCTCCCCGAGGTTGGCAGCCAGTGAGGCCCAAGACCAGAGAGCCTGTCCCGGGTCACCATTCCATCTGAGTCGGGCGCTGGGCAGGCTGAGGGGCAGGAGGTAGGCGAGGGGCGGTGAGGGAGGCGAGGGGGTACCGTAAGGGCCAGGCCGATGCTGGTCAGGCTGGAGGCGACCTGCTGGTGTATCCTCAGGAAGCTCCGGATGCCCTGAAGGCAGTCCTACGAGAGGGCAGCAGGCATGGCACCCGCCCTGACCGGCCCTCCCTGCCTGGACAAGCAGCTTCTGTGGGGCCATGGAGCTGCAGCGCCCACCTAGGCCAATGCCAGGGCAGCAGGGAGGTGGGTGTAGCACATTCCTGGGAAGCCCCCAGGGCTCTAGGGAAAGGCAGCACAAGCAGGTGAAGCCCAATGGGACAGGGCTGGCCCCTGTGGGCACCCGGGCACTGCCCTGGGCCCAGCAGGTGCTGTCTCCCAGCTGTCCTGAGTGTCCATCTTGGGCCACACATTGGCTCCCCTAGGCCGGGCCACTTCTAATTCACTCTGGGTTCCCAGCATCCAGCCCAGGGCCGGGTACAGCGCCTTGGTGACCAGAGGACGATGACTAACAGGGAGGGCGGGAAGCCAGCTGGTGGAGGGATGCGAGGGGAGTCCCCGCACTGTCCCAGGGTCCTGGTTCCATCCCGGGCTTCCAGTGCCACCCCAGGGCATGGCACGAGAGGCATCTTTCCAGAAAAGGGAGGTGACAGGCCTGTCTCTGAACCCTGGAGATGGTGGCAACTGGGGCAGGCTGTGGAGGCCTCTGTAGGGTGTCAGGGCTCACCCTCCTGCCCCCCACAGGCAGATCTGCCTCCCTTCTGCCCATGCCTGCCCATCTGGGTGGCTCCGTGCCCGCCACCTGTGCTGGCTTTTCCGGCTCCCCAGGAGGCTTTGCAGTCAGGCCCATGGCCCTGCCATCCCCAGGGTGCTCAAGGCAGGCCCTCGCTCCTGTTTTTCAGTCGGGGGACCTGGGACCTCTCCTTGGGTGGCACAGGGATCCTCACTGTCAGCCCTACCCCTGATGCTGCTGGTGCCTCCCCAGCAGTGTCCCCAGCACCGGCCCTTCTGCCCTCAGAGCCTGGGCTGTGGCTCCACCCCTTGCCAGGCCTCCAGCCATTTGCTCTCCTCCCCTCTGTTTCTTGGAGGGTGGCCAGGTGCCTCCCACTGTGAGATAGGGTGGGTTTGTTTCCAGGACAGTAGGGGAGAGGAGCAGGGAGGGGGCAGGGTGGGCTGGGGGAGGGCTGTTGGGCACCAGGAGAAAGAGCGGGGGGCCCAGTTTGTCCCAGGGCTCTGGGAGGAAAGGCTTCTTCGCCTCGGGCCCCGCTCTGTTGTTGCTGAAGCCCTGGCCACACCCTAGCCTACGCTGACCCTCCGGCCTCGCTTCTCCTCCTCTGAGTGCCCTTCCACTCCTTCTGATGCCCCCCAGGACGCCTGCACCCTTCCCCCTAGATAGAGCCCACCATGCTGGTCCTGCAGCCCTTGGCACAGAGCCCTCATGGGTGCACTCCAAGAGGCTTCTGTGGACTCAGCTGGCCTTGGGAAGCCCCGAAACTGGAACTGACTTGAAGGAGTGAACGGCGCATCGGGCCTGCGTCCAGCTGGGCAAAGGGGCTTGTGTCTATGTCTTGAGCCTAGCCCAGCCGCCTGACAGGCTTGGTGTACCGTGAACCCTAACTAGCCTCCGATCATACCAGAACCTTCCCTGAGCCCTTCAGCAGGCAGGTCCCAAGGGTCTAGGGAGACCAAGGAGGGGGATGGGAGGATGGCTCTGGGTCTCGGGGTTGGGCCCCAGGGTGTCCAGCCCCTGAGGGTCTTGCCTGGCCAGCCTCCAGGTCCCCCCCTCACCTCTCTTGCCGCCTCCTGTCCCTGACACAGGTCAGCCTCTGTGCTCCCCAGACGGCTGAAAGGAGACCTCTTCCCACAGCACAGAAACTACAAGAACAGAAGGGAGGGAGTGGTGATGTGCTTCCGAGACCCCAGGAGGCGGGCAGCACATATGGGGAAACTGAGGCACCACAAGGCTCCAGGTGGGGTTCCCTGCAGGCCAGGGCTGGGGCTCCGGGTAGCAGCTGCTTCTGCTGGGGGCTCCAGCCATTGTGCAGCCGGGGCCTGGTGAGGGGAGCTTTCTCAAGTCGCGCTGCCTGCGCGCTGGGGAGGGAACTCCTGCTGGAGCCAGGCAGCTTCCCCGCCCTGCTCACGGGCCGTGCGTGCTTTTTTTTTAAGTAGAGACAAGGTCTCCCTATGTTGCTCAGGCTGATCTCGAACTCCTGGGCTCAAGCAATTCAGCTGCCTCAACCTCCTCCCAAAGTGCTAGGATTACAGGCGTGAGCCACTATGTTTGGCCCCGTATTTGCTTTAATGCTCTTGAAATCCTCCAGTGTTTCTGAATAAGGGGCCCTGCCCTCCCATTTTGCACTGGGCCTCGAGAATCTGGTAGGCGGCTCTGTCCCGGGCAGACAGAGGATGGGAGCTTTGTGCCGCCAGCCCTGAGGGGCAGCTCTGGCCTATGTCCTGGAACCCCTTGGTGCCTGGCCAGACCTCTCACTGGCCACCCTGTGCCTGTTCTCTGAACTGCAGTCCAAACAGAGACTGACCGCCCTGCCACCCAGCCGTCCCCACGCTCACCGTGTCCTGGATGGCCGCCAGCTCCTGCCGCCCGACGTGGGACGTGCCTTTCATCGCCTGCTCATATACCAGGTCGTAGGTGTCCAGCATGGCATCCTCCACCTACACCGAGAGACCACAGGGAGGTCCTGGCCCTGGTGAGAGATCCAGGGACACAGCCCCCTCCCCACAACATCCCAAAGGCTGGTGGGCCCTTAGTGGAGTGACGTCCCAGCACCGCCCTCCTCGCAGCAGGTGGATCTCCCCAAGGGGTAGCCTGGATCCCTGGGCAGCCAGTCACAGTGCTTCCCAACATCAACAGTGGGGCCTCCACACAATGGCCGTCAGTGTGGCCCTCCTGCCCCCAGAGGGTCCTGCAGGATACATCGAGGCCAAGCTCTGCATCTGCCTCTCCTGTGGTCTTACAAGGTCGGCTCAGGGAAGTTTCCATCACGCTACTGTTGACCTGGAAATGGGGGATGGAGCTGGGCCTGGTGGAAAAGGCTTGAGAGACCCTGTGCCAGGACCTCAGCTCCCACAAAGCTGGGGGATTCTAGGTCTTTCCCCAGAATCACCCAGCTGCCTTCCAGAACCCCGGGCAGCTGGGCTCTGGGTAAGGCTTTTGACCAGAGAAGCCTTGGGCACCTGGAGTCAGATCTGGGTAGACGAGGCCACTGTGGGGCAGGGGGTGGAGAAGGTGGAAGGTGACGGGGCCTGGCTGGATGTGCTGTCTGCGCTCCACACCCTAATACCACCTGGACCTCATGTCTCCACCCTCCTAAGCAAGATGCTGTCCCCTGCCAAGTTACCCCTTCAAAGACAAACTGGAATCTCGCCTCCTACAGGAAGGCTTCTGTGACTGCTCCAGGAGTCGCTGGTCTCCTGGCACAGGGCGAGGCCCTCTTTGAGGTCCCTACCCTCTAATGTCTCCTTCCTGCCTCAGAGGCCCTCAGTTCTCCCCCAAATGCCATGCTGACAGTCAGGACACATGGAGGGGTGCTCAGCAGTTGCCCTAAAGGGCTGGGGGAGAATGGAAGCCCCAGGCCTGCTCTGGCCGCTCACACCTGCCCTCCAGAAAGGAAGGGTGGCTTCCCGCGGTCCTCGTTGCACTGGGGCCCAGCCCCCGTGGCAGCCCTGACAGCGGCCACCTGGGTGGGCAGTGGGCAGTGGAGGCTCTCGGTCAGCCCTGCCCTAGCCTGGAGGCCCCAACAGGAGTCAGATGGACTTTCCAGGCCAAACTTGGCTCCTGACCCTAATGCATCCCTCCCACTGATGGCTAATAAAAGTCAGACCACTCTCCATGAGTCATCCCCAACTCAGCCAGCCTTGTCCTCCCCGCAGTGCCCTGGGGGGCAGGCGCCAAGCTGGCCACACCACTGTTGGCCTGGGCGGGGGCCTTGTTCAGCCTCAGCGTCTGTGAGTGTGAAATGGGGGTGGAGTCTGGCCTGGCCATTGTGTCCTCGTGGGTGGAGGTCCTGGTAAGGACCGGAGGCCTGGTAGAGTGGGCCTGGGGTTGGCTCAGACCTCCCCTCCTGCTTCCCTCCCAACTCCAATGACTGTCCTCATTGTCAGGCGCCTGCCATGGCCCAGGGAGGACACGGGTGCCTCTGAGGCTCTGAGCTAGGTGTCCTTATTACCGCAGCAGAGGCGAGAGTGACAACGCCTGCTAGTGGCTGAGGGGCTTGCTCTGCCCGGCTCTTCCCACTCTGCCCGCTATGCCCGTTATGCCTGCTCTGCCTGCTCTGCCTATGCCCGTTATGCCTGCTCTGCCTGCTCTACCTGCTCTGCCCGCTATGCCCGTTATGCCTGCTCTACCTGCTCTGCCCGCTATGCCCGTTATGCCTGCTCTACCTGCTCTGCCCGCTATGCCCGTTATGCCTGCTCTGCCTGCTCTGCCTGCTCTGCCCACTATGCCCGCTATGCCCGTTATGCCTGCACTGCCTGCTATGCCCGTTATGCCTGCTCTGCCTGCTATGCCCGTTATGCCTGCTCTGCCTGCTATGCCCGTTATGCCTGCTCTACCTGCTCTGCCCGCTATGCCCGTTATGCCTGCTCTGCCTGCTCTGCCTGCTCCGCCTGGCTCTGCCTGCTCCGCCTGGCTCTGCCAAGCAGCTCTCCCCACGACTGAGGAAGCAGAGTTCAGCAAGGTAGGCCTCCTGCCCCAAAGCCTGGCTCTAGAGGGCCCTGGAGGTCAGGCCGGCCACTCCCCACGGGGCCTGGGCTCCTAGGTGATGCTTCACCAACTGTCTCCATCCCAGGCTCTGGGGGCTCTGAAGGACCCTGGGGCCTGTGTTTCTCAGGACACCTGGGGGCAGGTGCGCCCTGAAGGGTACCAATGCACTGAGCTCCATCTTCCGGTGCCCGGGGGGTGCTTCAGGACAAAGACCTGGAGCAGCAGGGCCAGCGCAGAATTCCCGGTTGCTGGACCCACGCGACCTGCTGTGTGTTTCTCCAACCCCTGCCCAGACTGAGGCCTGAAGTCCAGGGGTCCCCGCTGGGGCTTCCCCCCACGACCAGATCGTCCCTGGTGTCTGCCTGGGCTCAGCGGCCCTGACTCCATCCCGTGTCTGCTGAAAGTGCTCAGGAAGGTACAGACAGGTCCTGGGCGGCGGGTGGGGACCAGGAGCTGCAGGAGACCTGTGGGCCAGCCCCACAGGTCCAGAGCCGGCTCTGGCCTGAGCCCACTCGGTGGCTGGAGGATCCAGGGAGGGAAGTGGCTCCAGGGTGGGGCCAGACTGCGAGGATGAGGCTGCACCCCACACTGCTGTACTTAATTCAAGCATGAATTATTCCCGATGCAGACTCGTCCAGGGACAGGGGGAAGGTTGCAGCAAAGTGACTCTCAGGGCTGGAGGAGAACGTAATTAATAGCCCTCAAGCTCCACATTCATCCCTGAAGCCTGGTCCATGCCTCCTGCCCGCATGAGCGTCCCAGGGAAGTGGCAGCCAGGACTTCCTGGGGCAAGGATTGGGGAAGGGGAGGGGCACCCTACTACTCTCAGTGCTGGGCCAGGGTCTGTGGCCACGGGGCACTGCCAAGGGCATGTGGCGGGTCCCTTCCCTCCTGCAACCTCTGCCTTTCCATCCGCAGGGCTGCCACATGAGTCACGCTGACCCTGTGTTCAGGACACCTCAGGGGCCCTGTGGGGAGGTACAGGGGGAAAGGGTGAATGGGTCGGGCTGGGATCTGGACCCCCGGCTCTCACTTCAACATTTCTGGTGCCAACAGCTTGGACCCTTTGGCCTTTGCCGCTGTCTGTGCTGCCAGCAGGACCTTGTTGGACAGGGATCCCGAGGTTGAAGCCCGTTAGGCTCTGGTGGGCCCTGAGGGCAAAGGGCAGGAGGTGGGATGTGCAACCACCCCTCCTGCTCAGGCCCTGGCCCCTGGCACCACAGCTACCCCATCCACACCCAGCACAGCTCCGAGTGAGTTCCATGTCCTGGAGGACCAGCCTGGGCAACGGGGCACGGCAAGGGGCACGCAGGTAAGGAGGAAGAGTCTTTGCACACACCCGGCCATTCCTACCCATGCAGCCCCTGGGTCTCGGTGCTCCCTTCACAGAAAAGGAAACTGAGGCCCAGGAAGGTTAAGTAGCTTGCCCAAGGGCGCCCCAAGGACACTGACTTCATATTCAGAGCTCCTTCGCCCAGGCCACCTCTGTGGCCACCAGGCCTGACACGGATGATGTCGGAAGTCAAGACCCACCGGGAGGGGCCGATGGGGCCCAGAGGCCCAGGAGGAAATCCCAGTGCCTTGCCTGGGGTCAGGCAAGGCCCTGAGAACTGACCCCTGAAGGCCAGCTGGGCGCACGGGCCAGACAAAGATGGTGTGTGTGGGGGATGCTACTTGGGGCCGGGACAGGCCATAGGCAAGCCCAGCTGGGGCATCTATCTTTTTGCACCCCCTTCCCTTCCTGGAGAGCAGGCCCCAGCTGTGTTCTGTCCTGTAGCCCTTGCATGGCCCCCTCCCCTCCAGAATTGTGCTTCCAGGGTCAGAGCCATAAACACACAGAAGCATGGGGCATGGGCTGCAGCTGCCCCAGACGAGCCTGGGCACCCTGGCAGCTGTCTTGACCTCGGCCACCTCCACTGTGACCCAGACCTCAAACGAGCCTAGACCACCCCACAATGGACAGGAAACGTGAGGCTGAAACACGGACCTGGCCCAGCTCATCACCCTGGTAAGACTACTGTGCCAATCCTCAAAGCCACAGCCCTCTTTAGGGGGCTCAGTCCCTCTGGGATCCTTCTGGGCCTGAGAAAATGATGTTTCTCCCACCTGGTTCAGGTGGTTCATCCCAAATGATGCCAGGGGTGGGCAGACACTTTGGGGCCAAGAGCCTTTGTGGTAAGCCTGGAGCTCCCTCCAGCCCTGGCACTGCCAGGGTAACTTTGAGCTCCCCCCATCCATGGAGGGCCTGAGTCCCCCCATCTGCAAACCACGGTGGGGGCCACCACACTCAGGCTGCCAGCACAGCTCAAGAACTGGCACAGCAGGCGCCCTGCAGAGCTCAGCCAGAGGACCTGCCACCAGCCTCAGCATCTATCATGGCCAAGCTTGTGTTTGGGGGCCCTGGGCAACCAGGCACTTGAATACACAAGGCCACTAGGACTCCAGCTAGGGCTCCAAGAAATCACCTCTTGTGACTTGCCAGGCTCTCCTGCCCCGCTCGATGACCCTGCCTGCGGCTGTCCCTGGCACTACCCGGCTGCCCTGGGGGCTCTCACCAGGTCTGGGCTCTCAAGGGGAAGGTGGGGCTGGCTCTGTTACCGAGCTCTCATTCTCTGCTGGGCCAGGGAGGCCTCCTTCCTCTCCAAGCTGCTGGCCTTTCCACGGGGATACCCTTGGCCCCTGCCCAGGGTCAGCTAGACCAGCCCGTCCTCCAGGCAAGTCAGCATCCAGGACGGAAGGATGGGTGGCGTCCTGTGGAGCGGGTGGAGGCTGCGACACCCCAGCCTGTGGGTCTCCAGGCACTGTCCGCCCCACCAGGCCTCCATCAGGAGCGGGGGCCCTCAGGTCTCATGTTCTGGAACACTCTGCTCCTTCCAGTCAACCCCTAAGGCCAAGCCAGTGACTTTCCTTCTTCTTCTTCCTCATTCCCTCCCCCAAACCTGAGGGGCATCAGCTCAGGAGGGGGTGGGCTGAGGGGCTTCAAGAAAATGAGGCTGGGGCGAAGGCCTGGGTACAGCATAGGTCCCTCCCCACCAGGGAGCTGCTGGCCCTCACTCACCTCTAGCGCTTGGCCTCCCTGCAGCCTCAGACAGAGGAAACCCAGGCTGCGGTCTCCCCCACCCCACCCGGTCAGTGCAAGCCTGGAAGCTGGGGCTGCCCCTCCCCGGACTGCTCCCCCGTACCCAGGTGCCCACTGGCTTGCTGGGGGACCCTCTGCTGCAGGGTAGGGGCAGCTGGTGCTCACCTGGGTGGGGCTGTGGAGTCTCCAGAACACCAGCTGCACCTGTGCGCAGAACGCCAGGGAGAAGCACAGGAAGCCCTGGGGGCAGAGCGCGGCCGGTCACTGTGGGGGGCCGGTCACTGTGGGGTGCTGGTCACTGTGGGAGGGGCCTGTCACTGTGGGGGGGCCTGTCACTGTGGGAGGGCCTGTCACTGTGGGGTGCTGGTCACTGTGGGAGGAGCCTGTCACTGTGGGGGGCCGGTCACTGTGGGGGGGCCTGTCACTGTGGGAGGGCCTGTCACTGTGGGGTGCTGGTCACTGTGGGGGGGCCTGTCACTGTGGGAGGGCCTGTCACTGTGGGGTGCCGGTCACTGTGGGAGGGACCTGTCACTGTGGGGGACTGGTCACTGCAGTGGCCTTGCCAATCACTGAGGGGCCTGGTAGGGTCTGGCAGGCCTGGGCAGGGCAGTGCCCTCAGGCTGTGCCCCCAGCGGGATGCTTGGTTGAGGCATGGATCTGAGTCCCACTCCCCACTGCCTGAGAGGGAGACTTGGCCTGGGGATAGCATGGGCGCTGGGTCCGTGGGTTCCATAGCACCTTCCCATCCCCTTCCTGGGCGCTTTTTGGGAATTCGTCCCTTGTTCTCCCATTTTGGCCCCCAGGGACCTGTTGATGGCAGCACTGCACCCCTGCCCAGGAAGGGCAGGGCGCCCCTGAGAAGATGGAGACCTCTGCCCACTGGGGCTGCTTCCTGAGGGGCATGGACCTGGACAGGGCCGGGCAGAGCCTGCCCTGAGCCTGAGCCTCTCCAGGGCCGGTGCTATAGGCTCTTCTGTTTTGCCTTCTTTTCTGAAACAAGCCACCAGCTAGCCCAGCGCTGGTGAGGTTTGGGACAGATATGGTGCCTGCTCAGGATGCTGTGGTCTCTCTCTTTGCAGGTGAGCCCACCTCCCTGACCTCCCTTTCTCTCCATACTCTGCCTGGGTCCCCATGGCCTGGCCAACCACTGTCCCCTCTCTCTCACTGGTGCCAGTGCCCCTAGTTGTGGAGTGGGGCATTCTCCGGCGGAAACATCTGCTCACCAGCCCCCGGCATTGTTCTTTTGGCCGGGGCTTCCAGGCTTTTGAGAGCCCCTTTGCAGAAGCTGGGGAACACGAGAGACCTCCCCTGAGAGCAGACAGATGCCCCCGACACGGTTTTATGGAGGGCGGCAGAGGTCACCCAGGCTAAGAACCCTGGGGATGTCCTCCCACTCAGGGTCTGGGCGACCACCTTTGCCTTCGTGCTGGTGCCCTGAGCCTGGGGATGTCCCCCAACTCGGGGTCTGGGCGGCTGCCTTTGCCTTCATGCTGGTGCCCTCAGGACCCGGAGTACCTGATGGTGAGTCTAGCCGCTGACCAGGCAGCTCCCCCAGGAGTCCTGAGGCCCTGGTGAAATGCCAGCCCCCGCAGGCAGCACTGTGCCCAGCTGGGTGGTCCACAGGCTGAGGCAGGTTGGGTCTGGGCCCTTCTAACCCTGGGGCCCCATTCAGGGTGACGCCAGGAGCATGGGTGTCCGTGGAATAGACAGAGACCCACACATGCTGGCAGGCGAGCAGCAACAATGCCAGCATGCCAGGGGAAGCTGGTCAAGAGGGGCATGGAAAGAGCTGGGGAGCCCTGCTGGACCCCAAACACAGGCGAGAGCATGGGGCCTCCAGCCTTGCAGGGACGGGGCGCTGGCGGCTCCCCATGACCCTCCTGCCTGCCCTGGAGGCTGCAAGGCCTGATGGGCGATGGCCTGGGAGCTGCCACCGCCTCCTCTCTTTTCTCCTCCTCCTTCCTCTTCCTCCTCCTTCCACCCTCCTCCTCTTTCTTCTCTTCACCTTTCCTCTTTTCTCTTTCCTCCTCCTTCCCCCTCCTCCATCTCCTCATCCCTTGTCCTCCCTCCTCCTCCCTCTTCTTCCCTTCTCCCCCTCCCTCCTTCTTCTCCCCCTCCAACCCCCTCCTCCCCCTCCCTCTCCCTCCCCCCCTTCTCCTCTTCCCTCCTTTTCCTCCCCTTCCCTCTCCCTCTTTCTCCCTCCTTCTCCTCTTCCCTCCTCCTTCTTTGTCCTCCTTCTCCTCCTTCTTGCTGGCTGAAGGCCACCGTCCCCATCTGGAAGCTATCACTCAGTGCTGCCTCCCAGGCTTGAGGCGCTGAGCCAGCTCAGGAGACCAGCATTTTCCAGAAACCTTTTCATTCCTCAGGAGAAACAGCATCCACAGTCTCTCTCTCTCTCTCTCTCCCCCCCCCACCAACCCCCTGTGCAGAGAGGATCTTGGGCGGTGGATAGGCCCATGCAGACCTCCCCAAGGCCTTCACCATCAGAGGCTGCTGGGTGGTCAGGTCTGCCCTGGCCATTTTCTTTCTCCTCATTCTAGACGGAAATAAATAAATACATACATAAGCGAATTGAATGTGCTTCCTTGGGCAGCGCTGCCAGCTCTGCTCTCTCAGCCCAGCAAGCTCTTTCATTTCCTGTGCGAGAGGCCAGCTAGGGGAGAGGCCGGAGGGGTGGGGGCAGGCAGGAAAGGGCCTTGTGGGGAGCATCCAGGCACCCAGCCCATTAGAAAAAATCTTTCCTCTCCCTGCTCCCTATCCCTAGCCCCTTGACCTGTGCTCGTGCATGCAGACACACACACAGATGTGCCAGATGCAACACGCAGACACCACACCCATATGGCAGCAGGGGCAGGTGAAGACCGGTAACAGATACTTGCACACACGCACACGCAGAGGCACCTGCACATGCACACACACACTCATGCACATGCACACACACTCATGCACATGCACACACACACACATGCACACACGTATATTTGCACACACATGCACATAAGTTCACCTTCATGCACACGCATGCAGCTCAACTGGGTAGATCTCCCAGCTCCCTGCTGTGGCCATGCTGAGCTCACCATCCAGGCCGGGTCTAAGTACACTGGGGCTTGAGGGGTGCGCTGGAGCCCACCCAGCTCGGACTGGAGTGTCCTCAGGACCCCAGCCCAGTGCAGGCATCCAGCTGGGGGCCTCCCAGGCTGCTCTACAAGCCTGAACCGCGTATCAAGTCACCCTGGCCTTGAGGCTGGCTGGGGACACAGAACCCGAGCCCAGGTGCTCGCTGACCGCCTTGGCCACAGATCAGGGTGCTAGGCTGGTTTGTGCATGGGGGCAAGGTGGGGTGGGAAAGGCTGGTGACCAGGACAGGACCCCCGTGGCCCAGCTGGCCTCTGCATATGTGGCCTCAGGCCCAGCACCATGGCGCCCCCTGGTGGATGGTGTTGCAGCCCCAGTGGCGGTTCTTTCTGGGCCTCCAGCTCAGACCTGGACCCCTTGGCCTGGCGCTGTTGCCAGCCTTTCCTTCCATCCAGGTGTCCCTTTGCAGGCCACACACCCTCTTGAGGGGCAGACTACTTGCCTTGTCATCTCCCCATTGGGGCCTCCCACCTGGCCCTGAAGCCAGATAGCATAGGCTGGGGTTGTCCCTGCCCACGCTCCTGTGCCCCAGAGCAGGAATCCTTGCTAGTGCTGGAGCTGCTGGGTCCTTCTCTGCTCCCCATGGGCCCACCCAGGGCTGGTTGGCCCCGCAGCAGCTCCAGGAGGTGACTCTATTCCTATCTTTGGAGACATTTATAAACCAGGGTCATTAAACAAGCATTTGCTGAACTTGAAGGCTGAGCTGAGAACCCTGCCAGCCCTGGGGACCCAGGAGGCTGTGCCCTCAGGGACTTCCAGAGTGGTCCAGCTTCACAGGCCAGACAGGGCAGCAAAGCCCCCAGCACAAGCTCCTCACGGCTGGAATGGGGACACAGGAGGCTAGAGGGACAGGTGGGACCCCAGGGCGCCAGTGCGGAGCTGCCTTAGCTGTGGTGAGAGAGAAGGGCTGTGAGCCTGGCAGGGGCAGGACAGGCGTGGGGAGGCTGCCACCAGGTGGGGTCTGCGATGACCTTCGAGGGCTGGCAAGGACCAAGACAGAAGCCCATGGGGAGGAGTAGGAATGGGGGCGACAAGGGGCCACTGCTATGGGGTGGGGTGGAGGGGCCTATGGGGCCTCGGGGCTGGGGAGACACCCCCGGCAGCTCAGGAGAACCCAGGCGGGAGAGCTCAAGAGGCATTTCCCTTGCCCGGCCCGGCCTCCTCCGAACAGGAAATGGGATGCTCCCAGTGCCCTCCCAGAGCTTGCTGGGCGATAGAACCAGACCCTCCCAGGGACTTTGAAAACGGCTCCCAGGGTGAGGAGCACCATCTCTCTCTTTCAGGGCTCCTATAGGAACCCTTGCTGGGCGTGTGGATGACAAGATGAGGTAGGGCCTGGTGGAGGAGCCTTGGCTACCCAGGTGGGGGGTCTCGGCTGGTCAGCATCCCTGGGACCTCTGTTTCTGCCTAGTCACTCAGGTGTGGGGGTGGCGCACAGGCCTGCCAGCTCTTCACTCCTTCCTGATTCTTTTCTGGGGACATGGGCATCTGGGAACACAATGAACTCACCCCCGCCATGAGGCCCTGGGCCTCCCTCACGGTGCCTGCAGCGCTCAGCACGGCTCCCAGGGTCAGGAGGCCCACCAGGCTCAAGCCCGCAGGGAAGGCTGGTTGGGAGGAGAGAAGAGGAGGGTTGGGGTGCCCAGGACAGGTCCTGAGTGCACACAGCCTGGGTCTGAAATCTAACTTCGGAGTCAGGGGCTGTGCGGGACTTCTGGGGGGCTCTGAGTGGGCGCCGTCTCTCCACCAGACAGGGCCCTGAGGGAAGGAGGAGGGAGGCGGGACTCGTTCAGCCTGGGGGACCGCCCCTCCTTCCCTCTTTTCCTCCCTGCCCTCCCTGCCTGTGGGGCTATCGTAGAAGCCACATGCTCCCCGCCATGCCCTAGTGACAAGTGGCCGGACTGGAGCTGTCATCTTATCAGTCCAGACCTGGACCTGGGCCCCAGGCGTCCTCCTCCAGGGAGGCCCTGGTCCTAAGACCTGGGGAAAAGCAGTGGGTTCTAAGGCAGCATTTTCCCCGTATCTGCCCACCGGGCTGCAGCCCTCCTGGGCCCCCGAGCTCCTGCCTGAGAGTCCCCTGCAGGTCTGGTTCCGGCATCCCCTCATTAAAGGGCCTTCCTCAGCCTTACCCCCAAGTCGCCCCAGCAGACCCTGGCTCTCGCTCCCGCTCTCTGGATGTTGGATAAGTCGCTGCTGAGTCTCTGCAGGGAGGCGTCTGGCTAGAGCAGCCCCACCCCTCCCCACCCATGTCCCAGGTCCTGAGTGGAACGTCAGCCATGTGGAGCCCTCATGGACCTGCTGAGCCCGGCCCCAGGCCACTCCCAGGTGGCGCCTGCCTGGGATTCAGCCCTGACTGCACAGAGCCAGGTCCTGACCCTGCCCAATCTATACCCACACTGTGCCCACGCTCCTGTGGGGCACGAGAGTCAGGCAGGAACACCGGCTGTCACCCAGACCCGAGGCTCTGTCCAGGGGAGCTAGGACTCCAGGGCAGCCCCTCCCTGCCCCTGACCACCTCTGGCTTCTGCCCAGGGCCTGGCACCACTCCGCCAGTGAGACGTCCAGCTGGGCTCAGCTCCTACCAGCCGCCCTTGCACCCAAAGCCCCTCCCGATGCAGCCAGACCTGGACCTCGCTTACCCCATTGGTGCACAGCCTGGTACGGGTTCTTCTCCAGGGACGCTCGGTGAATGACAGCAAAGTGGGCCCCGAAGTAGGTGAGAGTCACCATGGTGGCCACAGAGAGGCCCAGCAGCTGTGGATAGGACAGACTCAGAGTGTGGGACACGGGACTGCCGCAGGATGGGGCAGCTTGGCCCCAGGGGACAGGGCTGGGGCTCTCTCCAGCTTCCTGGTCCCGTGACAGACAGGCTGAGCTGCAGGGATTCCCAGTGTTTCTGTGGAGTGGTCTCAGGGGGCCTTCACTGCAGACGCCCCAGCACACTCACAGGCACTCACACATGGTAGACGCATACACACACAGCCCAGCTTCCCCAGACACCCAGGACCTCTGATCATGCTGTCCACGGAGTGGGATGAGCCCCACCCCTGTGCCAGCGCCCTCCTGGGCAGGAAGGGGAGACCATCCCTGGAGCCCGGCAACCAGTGCTCCTCCATCCCAGCTCGCCCCAGGCCTCGGCCCCACTCAGGCCTCCTCCGGGCTCTGTGCTGCCTGCCCCTCAGGAGGAGAGACGGGGCTGCCCATGGCAGTCACTGCCTGTGACTGTCTGCCACCAGGAGCCCCAGACACATGTCTACAAGGGCAGGACAGGGACAGTAGGGCTGGTGTGTGTGTGAGAGGAGGGGTAATCCCCATGCTGAGGCCCTGCCACCCCTCACCCCTTCTCACCCCCACCCACCACCCACTCCTGCCCAACCTGCCTGTTACCAAGATAAAGAAGCAGGTGACCAGCATCTGGCATTTGGCAACCCTGACTCGACTCCAAGGCCCCATGATAGCTCCTCTCCTCTCTTCTCTTCTTCTCCCCTCCCCTCCCTTCCCCTCCCTGTGGTTTCCAGCTGGGCAGGGGCCTCAGACCGCAGCTCCCTGCCCAAGAGGTAGGTTGCATCCGCCTCGCTGTCTGTCTGTCAACATCGCCCTAGGACCAAGCTGCTGGGTGCCCCGGAAGAAGGGCAGGCAGGAAGAGGAGGGGCAGTGAGATTGGCTCCCCCCTCAACCTCACCCTGGTGCCCCCAGCCCAGCCCAAGACACCAGGGCGTTTGCCGACATCTGAGGCCCTTCTTGGTGTGGCCACCGAGGACGGTGCTGAGAGGGGGAAGGTCATGGGCAGGGCTGGGTGTGGGATGCAGAGGAAACAGTGCCTGGGGAAGAGGAGGTGAGCTGCCCGTCCTGGGAGTGTGCAAGTGTGGACTGGGCCTTGGGGGCGTAATCCTTGCAGGAATTTGGAGATGGGGTCTCCTTGGAACATCGTTACTGAGGTGTTCTTAGGAAACACCCTTTGCAATGTTCTGTGACAGCTTAACGTTTTGAGAAGGTCGTTGGTTTTTATCCCTTCATGGGCGGCACTAATGGGTATTTTGTTGCAGAGCCTTCTTGGGGCCATGGGGGTAGGCTGGGGCCTCACTCACACCCACGTCGGGCCTCCAGGGGGAGGCTTTGTAAACCTCGAATTTGTAATTACACAAAGCCGTGTCATTACCCGTGGGTGGGGGCAGCGCTGCCGCCCCAATACAGGCAGGGTTTCCGTGGGCCTCTGGGGCAGGGTGGGCCTGAAGAGTGTGAAGATGCTCCAGGTGAGTCCATCGTTCAGGGACCACTCCCGGCCCTCCCAGGGGCGCTCTGCTCGCCCCTCGGTGCTGGAATTGCTCCTCCTACATTTGGTGGGCACCTCAGCGAGGGGGAGGGGACCCCGAGACCTGCAGGCATGGCAACCCCAGCGTGGCTGTGGGAAGAGGGCCCAGCTGCTGCCCACTCAGGAGTGCTGCTGGAGGAACTGCTCAGGCCACCTCCTCCCTCCCTCGGCAGAGAAGCAGGGACAACCAGGACCCCTGTCCAGCCCAGCTCCCCCCGGCAGCACCTTCTGCAACTCGGGCCCCCAGGAATTCCCACCCTGAGTCTGTGGGGGCTTGTGGAGACCTCAGATGCCTGGTACCCACAGTGTCACTTCAGCTGGAGGCCTAGGTGTGGCTCAGGCTGGGGCGCAGGTATGGATCTAGGGGTGGCAGCAAGAGTGAAGGTACCAGGTCTAGGGGCTGGAGGCCCCCGGGCTGTGCAAGTGGCCAGCTTGTCTTCTCCAGGAAAGATGAGCTGCTCTTGGCTATGTCTGGCTCATCCCTGGAATTCTTTCTCTAACCTTGACCTCCCTGGAGCTGGTGAGGCAGGCCTGGAACACCACCCGTTTATGGGGTGCCTCTTCGCCAGGTCTGAAGAATTGGAGCAGGGCAGTCCTGGGTTCTTGACCTGTCCTGGTGGGCACCTTCTCACACCAGCGCTGTGCCCAGGTGGCCTCACTTGTCATCTCAAAGTGGCGTCAAACTCCCGGACAGGTGGACGGGAACCCTAGGCTGGCCCTCCAGAGACCAGGTCTGACCACAGCCCCCCTCCCTGTGCCCCACCAGCAGGGACAGGGAGCCAGGGGAACCCCCACTCTGTTTGCTGGGCCGCACCCTCCCACCCCGACACCCCCTCTGCAAGAGGAAGTGGCTTGTTGAGGGGAAGCCACTGTGAGGCTGTTGCCCACCCCACACATCCCTGCCCACCCCACACACCCGTGTCCACCCCACACACCCCTGCCCACCCCACACACCCCTGCAAACCCCACATACCTCTGCCCACCCCACACACCCCTGTAAACCCCACACACCCCTGCCCACTACACACACCCCTGTAAACCCCACACAGCCCTGCCCACCCCACACACCCCTGCAAACCCCACACATCCCTGTCCACCCCACATAGCCCTGCCCATCCCACACAGCCCTGCCCATCCTCACACACCCATGCCCACCCCACACACCCCTGCCCACTCCACACACCCCTGCCCACCCTACACACCCCTGCCAACCCCACATGCCCCTGCCCACCCCACACACCCCTGCCAACCCCACATGCCCCTGCCCACCCCACACAGCCCTGCCCACCTACTCTGGAGGTGGTGCCAGCCCCTGGGAGCCTGGAAGGCTCCTAGAGCGCAGGTTCAGCCCCAAGGAGCTGGCCCAGGAGGACAGCTGCCCCCACCCCTACCCCACCAAGGAGCCTGTCCTAAGGGCTGGGCCCCACTGCAAGCTGGCCTAGTGTCCCCTGGCTTTATTTCCAGGGAAGAGATCGGGCGTGGACGCGTGTGCGGGTGTGGACGCGTATGCAGGCGTGGATGTGTATGCATGCATATGTGACAGTGTTTACCCGCCAGAGACTTCCTTTTTCCTCTCTCCTTCCTGTGAATTCCTGGGTCCCAGGTGCGCCTGCTCGCTCCACAACGTCCTTACCCACCAGGAGGCCCCTGGCTCAGGGATGCCACCTGCAGCTGCCCAGCCCTCCGCCCATGACACCTTTGTTCCACCTGCCACCGCTCATGAAACTACGGATCACCCAGTTCTGCACTGGCTTGCCTGCTGCTGCTGTTTCAGTTTACCTGGGCAGTTGCCCCTGGTTATCCGGCTGGGGTGGGACTTGGACTTAGAAGCAGGCCCCTCCTCTGGGAGGCTGTGTCCTCGGGCCAGGAGGTGGCAGCCTCTACCTTCCTGAGACAGGGACCCTTTCTTGTCCATCACAGGTGAGCAGCCGGGCTCTGGGGCCTGCAGCCTGGGGGCCCCTGTGCTGTCTGTGAGTGCGGCCCCTTCCATCGGGGAGGCACTCAAGAGCTTCCCACCTGTGTCACAGGGAGTGGGGCCTGGAGCTTGAAGAGACCTGTGGGGGTCACACAGGTGCCTGAATCTGGCTCCTCTCTGTCCTTTGACTTGATTCTGAAATTGTCCCTGCAGCACAGATGCACCCCAGGAGCTGCCTTCACAGCCTCTCCTGAGCCCAGGGAGGAGGAGGGCAGCTCCCCTTCCAGATCACCCTAGGCCTGGGTCAGCTGGGCGGGTCCCAGGGGACCTCTGAACCCCCACTGCCTGGGCAGCCCCCTTCCCCTGGAGGCACTCTGGCCTGTCCCTTGAGAGCCAAGATCATACTCAAACCGGGTTCTGGGCTCTGGGCACTGCTCTGCTCCCAACCAAGGGAGGTTCTGGGGCGTGGCAGCCAAAGTGATTTCTGCTTAGGGCGGTTTCTGGTGAGTTCTGATATCTCAAACCCCAGCATCAGGGCCAGGGCAGACAAAAGAAGAGTGAGCTGGTCAGGGGTGCCCCAGTGGGGAGCTCGTTCACAACCTTTAAGGAGGGCAGGGCACAGCTCAGCAAGGGTGGCCATGAGGCCCTGGGCTTGTGGCTGAGATGGCAACTGGCTCTGGCAGTGATTGGAACAGTCCAGTCCATGGCCTTCCCTCTCAGTGCCATGGGCTGCTGCCTCCACTGGCCAACTCCAGTAGGCATTGATGGGCACTCTGCTTCCCCCCGCCCCCCGCCCCTGGGAGCCTAGACTCTGCCTTCAGTGATGGCAGAGGGAACCCAGGGATGGTGCCCCTTCAAAGACACAGCTGTCTCCCAGGGGAGTCTAAAGGGATCCCACACATGTGTCACAGATGCCAGGGAGACTGTAGGGGAGGTGTCTCCATCCACATCCACGCTGTGCCACCCACTAGTTTGTGGGGCCGGGCACCACCAAGCCTGCTGTCCTACCTGGGCCACTCCAGCCTGGGCTGAGACTCGGCACCCCGTGGGAGTGGAGGAGTGGGGCAGAGGCAGGAGATGCCCAGGGTAAGAGCCAGATGCCTTCAGAGTGACCCCCCGGGCCTGGGCAGGACTGGGGGCAGGGGAAGACCCGCTGGCAGAAAAATGCACATCAGACCCTCCTCCTAATGGTCCCCACACTCCCTGTGCAGACAAGGCAGACTGCAGGGCAGAAGCTTGCAACCCCATTCCTGGTGGTCAGTGTGCTTTATTTAGCCCTTGATGAAGAGACTGTTTCATGACAAACGGGGGCAGTGAGCTCCCGACACCTTTAAAGCTGCAGTGTTGCCTCTCTCAGGAACCTAGAAGTGAACGACCATCCTCATTCAGGCCAGACCCTGATGCTCAAGGGTCAGGGCCCAGGCCCGTTGCCAGGCTGCCCTCTCTCTTGGACAGGTGCAGGGACCCTTGGGAGGGGCACAAGGTTGCAGAGGATCTTTAAGCAGAGTGAGGAATATGGTGAGAGAAAGCTTTAGGAGGCGGGTTCAGTGTCAGCGTTCACTATGGACAGAATCGTTTTCCTGCAAAATTCATAGGTTGAAGCCCTGGCCCCCAATGAGATAGTGTTAGGAAGTGGATCTCTGGGAGGTAATTAGGGACAGATGAGGACATGAAGGTCCCTGGTCCCATAGAATTAGTGCCCTTATACGAAGAGTCATTTAGGAGCTCCCTCTTCTCTCTTTCTCTCTCCTTACATGCACTGAAGGACAGCTGTATGAAGACACAGAGAGAAGGCGGCCGTCTGCAAGCCAGGAAGAGAGCCCTCACCAAGACTGGAATCAGCAGCAACAGAGAGAAGGCGGCCGTCTGCAAGCCAGGAAGAGAGCCCTCACCAAGACTGGAATCAGCAGCAACAGAGAGAAGGCGGCCGTCTGCAAGCCAGGAAGAGAGCCCTCACCAAGACTGGAATCAGCAGCAACAGAGAGAAGGCGGCCGTCTGCAAGCCAGGAAGAGAGCCCTCACCAAGACTGGAATCAGCAGCACCTTGATGTTGGACTTTCAGTCTCCAGAACTGCAAGAAATAAGCACCTGCTGTTTACATGCCCAGCCCTCGGTGCTTCCTTATGGCAGTTGGAGCTAACTGAGACAGCTCCCAGCACTCACCCATTCATTCATTCATTCATTCGTTCGTTCATTTACCTCATGTCTACTGAACAGCTCTGGGATGGCTCTGGGAAGCTGTGAGTCACATATATTGCCCCAGCAATGTGTGAAATATGTTTAGAGACAGTGGGGAGCAGAGAGGGTAGACGCCCTGAGAACCCCAGCAGGGCTGGCCAGAAACACAGGCCTTGTTGGGCTGAGGCTGGCATGGGGTGAACTTGGGAGCCTTGGGGGCAGAGGTGATAGATGTGGGGTGTTTAAAGGCAGTGAGACAAAGAAGGGAGATGGATGGTGCCCCCCCATGCCAGGCTTTGCCAGCCTCCCAACACGTGAGTGTTCACCCGCCTGGATGAGACACCGCCGTGGACTTGGGAGTGAAGGTGGTGAATTTGGGCAATGCTGGAGACCATGCAGGTGGGAGGTGGGACAGGGGCAAGAGGCTGGGGCCCAGGCAGGAGCCGACAGCCTGCCAGTGCTCCCCTGAGAAGCAACCTCAGTGGGTGGCTTGGGGTCTGCTGAGCTGCCCCCACACTGACACCCTGGCTGCAGGGCCCCCTGTGTCCCCAGTGATGGCTCTCGGGATGGCTGTGTGGCCTACTCAGAGCCATCCCTGCAGCCCATGATCTCTGGGTCACCAGTTGCCAGAAGTGTCCCCCCTGCCTTGGGCGGAGGCTGAGGACCCCAGACTGGGAGGGAAGGTGCAGTGGGGGCTCAGCCAACACTGCTCAGCCTGAGAGTCCATCACATGTGGACTGCACCCCGGCGTCAGCCAGAGTGATCTCTGCTTAGGGTGGTTTCCGGTGAGTTCTGATATCTCAAACACCAGCATCAGGGCCAGGGCAGACAAAAGAAGAGTGAGCTGGTCAGGGGTGCCCCAGTGGGGAGCTCATTCACAACCTTTAAGGAGGGCAGGGCACAGCCCAGCAGGGGTGGCCACGAGGCCCTGGGCTTGTGGCTGAGATGGCAACTGGCTCTGGCAGTGATTGGAACAGCCCAGTCCACGGAACCCTGTGGCCTTGGCCGGAGGCTCATGGTGCCACAGGAACTGGAGCAATGGGTGGCCTCCCTCGCCTGGTGCCCGAGTAAAGGAGGACTGGGGGCCCCTGAGGAAGGACGTTGCCATACTCTCACAAATTTACATTCTTCTTCTCTCCCCCAGTCTCCCCTCAGGCACCTGCAGCCATTTGCTGGGGTGGCTAGTCTGTCCTCAGACTCAGGGGACTTACTGGACACTAACTCTACCCTGACACCCACTCCTGGGGACACAAACACCCGTCAGATCTAATAGTCAGAGGAGGGGCGTGTGGAGGCCAGGGTACTCATGGAGCTCTAGCTCAGGTCCAACTCTCGGTGGGTGCAGAGGTCACTTCCCTAGCCTCAGGCAGGTGAGTAAATGGACTTATGTGGCAGCCAGCAGAGTCCCCACATTTGTCCCCTGACCTAAGGGGTGGGGGCTGCTATGGTGGGAAAGGCCAAGTAGAAGCCATGGGGTGAACTCTACCTAGGAAAATCGTCAGTCAAAAGCAACCTGTGGCCCTGGAAGGACCGCAAAGTGCTGCCATTGAGGACTTGGAAGATGCAGGGTGACGACCACTATGGCAGCCTCGTTCCACTCATTAAATTGGCTTGTGTGGAAGACAGGGGGGTCCTGGAGAAGGAAGGACAGTGAATTCTGGTAAACTTAACCAGGACTCCAATTGCAACTGCTGTTCCAGATATGACTACTGATCACCGGGGCAAATCAAAGCATCCCTGGACACCTGGTCTACAACCATTGATCTGGTGAAAGCTTTAATTTTTAATATAGATCTTATTTTTTAGAGCAGTTTCATGTTTACAGAGAAATTGAGCATATTTGAGAGTTCTCATGTAGCACCTCTCCCCACACACAGTTTCCCTTATTACTAATATCTGGAATTAGTGTGATACACCTTTGCAACTGGCGAACCAATGTTGACCTAGTCATTGATCAGGTTACATGAGGGTTCACTCTTGGTGTGTACATTCTATGAGTTTGGGCAAATGTGTAATGGCATGTCTCCACTATTATAGTATCATACAGAATTATTTTACTGCCCTAAAATCTGTCTGTACTCCATTTATTCTTCCCTCCCTCCCCACTGACTCCTGGAAACCACTGATCTTTTCATTGTCTGCATAGTTTTACTTTTTCCAAAACATCACATAGTGGGAAATTATACAACCTGAAAAGGTAGGTAGACTTCCTCAGATTGGCTTCTTTCACTTGGCAATATGCATTTAAGGTTCCTTCACATCTTTCCATGCCATGATAGTTCATTTTTCTTTATCACTGAATAATATTCCATTCCTTGCGTATACTAGAATTCGTTTATCCATTCATGTATTGAAGAACTTCCTGATTGCTTCCAAGTGTTGACAATTATAAATAAAGCTGTACAAACATTAATGTCAAGGTCCTTGGGTAGACGTACATTTTCAGCTTATTTGGGTAAACACCTAGGGCATGATTGCTGGATCATATGGTAAGACTATGTTTGGTTTTGTAAGAAACCACCAAACTATTTTCCAAAGTGGCTGTCTCATGTTGCATTTCCACCAGCAATGACAGAGTTCCTGTTGCTCCATGCTCTTGCCACCATTTGGTGATGTCAATGAGTTCCTGTTGCTCCATTCTCTTGCTATCATTTAGTGGTGTCAGTGTTTTGGATTTTGGTCATTCTTATAGGCATCTCATTGTTGTTTTAATTTGCAATTCTCTAATGACATGTGATACGAAACCTCTTTTCATGGGCTCATTTGCCATCTGTGCATCTTCTTTGGTGAGGAGTCTGT